TAGGATTTTAAAGAAGCTAGAAGTTATTTGTTTAACTTGAACCGGACTTTACCCGAAGGTAAAAAAAGAAAAAAAAAAACATCATAAAGACAGGTTATCATGCATTTGTATATCTTGGCATTCAAACAGCAAGAAACAAACAAACTGAAACTGTAATATAAGTTGAATCAGTTAACTGGTGTATATAAAGTCCTAAGAGTTGTACACGGAGGAGAAGTCTTTAGAAATGGAGTTGTTTCGTTTCGTTTTTATAGTAAGCGTGTGTAGCAGATTTTTTTTCCTTCGTTTGACATTTTTCAAGTTAGGTAAACTTTGAAAATGCTTAAAGTAATCGGTTTTGGATTCATCAAATTTTCTCGGTTGGTTTTACCTTGGTTTCTTTGTAGCTGCTTTATTATTGCTTACGAAGGGTAAATGCTTTTAGAGGATAATTTTAGTGCTGTTATTCATGATGGGTATTTCGGAACAGATACTTTTGAAAAACTCCCAACAGATAAAATATACGGTTTAATGTCCTTTCTGTATTCGCAGTTTCTTGTGGCGTTCTCGTCTGCTGTGAAGGCTCAATCCAGAAAGGTTAGTTTAAGTTACGCTGGTCCCTGCCAATTTACGAGCGACAACTATTTGTGGGCAGACTGCTCTGCGACCAAGAGCTCGCTTAATAGTTCCCAATGCGAGGCCAGAGCCGATGGTTCAAGTAAGGGTGAGTCAAAAGTGAAAACTATTTAGAAAATAAATCTAATTAGTCTTAGTTAAGCGAAGGAGCAAAGCAATCAAGAGATTAACGTGAGTATGATTGGGAAATTAAACGAGACTTACCTGTAAGTTGAAGTTTTATTGAGATTCTATCACATGACAACAGAAGGCGAGAGATCACAGCGCTTGCGCAAGTCATTCTTAAAAGACACGTAATGGGCGCGTCAACATTGTATCAAATGGCTTACCCGAAAGTACAAACAAACAGGGTGGGTATGATAGCGGAGGGCATGTGATTTCTCGCCTTCTGTTGTAATGTGATAGAATCTCAATCAAACTTCAACTTACAGGTAAGTCTCGTTTAGTTTCCCAATTCTATCACATGACCAGAAGGCCCAACGAGAGGTACAGATAACTCAAGGCCATATGCAGAGTAGCCTCTGGCAAAAGCAACCCCAATAATAAACACAATATAATACAACAGTGTTTTTTCCCTATACATAATGTAAACTTGCTAATTTGCTAATCCCGACCAGGTCCAAAGTAGACGTGACGAAAGGCCTAGTGTGGGCTAGCGCCCAGAGAACACGGAGAACACTTTGGTATCCACCCCACAAAGGTGGAGGGTTTCCTTAGTCCACCTGGAAATTGTGTCCCTGGAGACAGGTTTATGTGGCCTAACATAACTAACAAATAATTTCGTTTCATCTTTACCCAAAAATTTTGTGCTGTTAATATACGCCTTAAGGCAAGTGAAAGGACAAATGGAAACATCGGGCTCATATCTAGCTATTTCGATTCTTGTATTAGGGTTCCTTGGACTACTGGTCTTCATGTGTTCATCGATATCAAATATGTATTTGTCCTCTTACACACAAAGGTGCTTAAGGTCTAAAGAGTGTACAGTTTGTCCTCGTTGACTCGAGACTAGTAAGATTAACATGAGAACTTTATACGTCAAATCTTTCAATGCCAATTTGTCATACGGGTATAACGTAGACAAATGTTTC